CTCTGTTGTCTCTGGAGGATAAGCCACAGCAAGGCCAAAGAGAAAAGCATGAAGTGCAATATTCCTAGGGTTGCCGGGCACGGTGGCAAACGCCTGTAATTCTAGTACTTTGGAAGGCTGAGGTGGGTGGATCACCTGAGGTCGGGAGTTTGAGACCAGCCTTGCCAACATGGCGAAATCTCATCTCTACTAAAAATACAAAAATTAGCAGGGTGTGGTGGCATGCACCTGTAATCCCAGCTACTCAGGAGGCTGAGGCAGAAGAAATCACTTGAACCCGGGGGGCGAAGGTTGCAGTGAGCCAAGAGGGCACCACTTCACTCCAGCCGGGTGACAGAGAAAGGCTCGGTCTCAAAACAAAAAAGAAAAAAAGGAAAAGAAAAGAAACATTCCTAGACTTGTGCCCACAGAAAACAAAGGATTCTCGTTCTAACCCAGTGGTTTAAGGAACATCTTGCTGTCTCCGAGTTTGTTATAGTAACATCAGTCAGTTTGAAAGGCCTTGGTAGCTCAAATATTCTAGTCTCTAGAAATAGCAAGGTGAAAAAAAAAAATTCCCCCAAATTGTTAAAACACATTTAGACTCAAGTCCCTGTAGGACCAAAATTAAAATATGCCAGGGAGGGGAAAAATGAAAGTTAATAGTTTGAGAATTAAAAATAAAACAGAATATGTATTTATAACATTTATTGCTCAGAAATATGATCTTTCCCATAGAATGATCTTTCTGAAAGCAGCTGAATTTTCTTTGAACTCTGAATCTTTCTGGGCCAGTATTTATTTAGGTTGTACTGTTAAAAAAAATTACAGGAAAAAAAAAAAATGATGAGTACATGGCTTCCAGTGTGGTTTAAAAGATTGGGGTAAGGCTGTGGAGGGGTAGTATAAAAATAAAGACATTTAAAAAGAATCCTGTTCACAGCCTCATATAGCTTCTTTGAAACCTAGAATATACATGTGCTGGGTGCAGACCTTGTCTGTCTTGTTCACAGCTCTATCTGTGTGCCTGGTGCATGGTAGAAACTCAATAATATATGCTGGATGAATCAATAAAAACAATGTAATCAAAGGGCTTGGGGAAGAGGTACCACGTGTAATTGTGATATCATTACTTGGTTGAATAGAGAGAGCATTGATGAAGAGAAGAAGTAAGAATTTAAAGAAAATATTGGAGTGATTTTAACTGCTTCCAGGTATCTATGGGTTCCCCATCTGTGGATTTAACCAACTGCAGGTCAAATATTTGGGGAAAAAAAAAAGATGGTTTCGTCTGTACTGAACACATACAAACCTTTTTTCTTGTCATTATTCCCTAAGCAATACAGCATAACAACTATTTACATAGCGTTTATATTGTATTTGCTATTATAAGAAATCTAGAAATCATTTTAAATGTTAGGGAGGGTATGCATTGGCAATATGCAAATGCTATGCCATTTTATATCAGGGGCTTGAGCATCTATGGATTTTGGGATCTGCAGGGGTCCTGGAATCAATCACCCTCAGAGACTGAGGGACAATTGTAGTAACAATCTGTAAATGAATTTCTCCAATGAATATCAATATAATTGCTTTCTCTTTCCACCACTTGCCTTCAAAGATTAAATGTTACGTAGAAACAACCAGGACTTGGCACTCATTGCATAAAGGGCCTTAGTTATCAGCTTTGGCAAAACAGTCATATCTAATTTATTTGTCTATTAGTCAGCTTTTACGTAAAAGGGTCCACACCTTCTCTACGTTGTAACTAATAAGTTGGTGAAGCCATTGCTAATTATTATTCATCTGGTTCAAAGCAAACACATTAAATCAAGCAATTGAGATTAACCCTTCAGAACTTATCTCTGTCAGGTGCAATTTCAGAATGTATAATTTTTTTTCATCTAGTACCTTGGCAGTTACGTCTTGCATTATACATTTCATTCTTTTATAAAAATCAGAGAAATGTAAATTTCTAACGTGTCTTCATTTCTAAAGTTAACATCCTTTGAAATAACAGATTCAGAATTTACTTCAGAATTAGTGTTGAAATTCCCCCCCTTTTATTTTTCTGTATTCTCATCATCAACAGCCAACATGAATTGAGCACTTTGATGTGTCAGGTTTTAAGGTGGGAAAAAGAAACTAAGAAATCACAAGCTTCCAGGTAGAGCTCAGTGGCTAACGTCTGTAATCCCAGCACTTTGGGAGGCCGAGGTGAGCGCGTTGATTGAGTTCAAAAGTTTGAGACCAGCTGGGGAACATGGCAAAACCCTATCTCTACAAAAAATTTAAAAATTAGCCAGGTGTGGTGAGTGCCTGTAGTCCCAGCTACTCAGGAGGCTGAGGTGCCAGGATCACTTGAACCCAGAAGGTGGAGGTTGCAGTGAGCCATGATGGCACCACTGTACTCCAGCCTGGGAGACAGAGTGAGACCCTGTCTCAAAAGGAAAAAAGAAATAACAAGTTTCCTTCACTCCCCCACTCCCTTCCCCAGAAACTTGGATTGTGTCCCTCCATGACATACTCATGATAGCTCCCTGTGTGTGTGGTTTTTTGTTTTATTTTGTTTTTTTTTTTTAGACGGAGTCTCACTCTGTTGCCCAGGCTGGAGTGCAGTGTCGCAATCTTGGCTTACTGCAACCTCCGCCTCCCGGGTTCAAGCGATTCTCCTGCCTCAGCCTCCTGAGTAGCTGGGATTATAGGCACACACCACCATGCCCGACTAATTTTTGTGTTTTTAGTAGAGACGGGGTTTCACCATGTTGGCCAGGTAGGTCTCGAACTCTTGACCTCAGGTGATCCACCCACCTCGGCCTCCCAAAGTGCTAAGATTACAGGCATGAGCCACCACGCCCAGCCTTGTGCTATTTTTTATGGCACCCATCAGTTTGCAATTGCGTATTGGTAAAGTTTTTTAATGAATGCCTTCAGCATTAATTAATGTCCTCCTGGACTATGGTCTCTATGAGGGTAGGGACTTTCCTTCTCTTTTACATACAATTAAACCCTCAGGACCTGGCCCCTGGGGGGTTATCAATAAGTATATGTTGAAACAGAAAGCCAAAAGATTGTGAAATGCCTAAGGTCTATGGAGGAGAAAGAAGAGAGTTAATCTGAAAACCCGTATAGAAATCAAAAGTTCTTTGCATTTTATTCTGTTTGGTTTATGTTAAAGTTCCATTGTGTGCCAGACATGATGGCTTATCCCTGTAATTCCAGCACTTTTGGAGGCTGAAGTGGGAGGATCACTTGAGTCCAGGAGGTGGAGTCTGCAGTGAGCCATGGTCACACCACTGCACTCTAGCCTGGGCAACAGAACAAAACCCATCTCTGAAAAAACAGTAAAATACATTGAATAAATTTTTTAAAATTCCATCATCTAGACACATCTGTATTGTAAGTAACTTTTTTTTTTTTTTGACACAGGATCTCTCTGTCACCCAGGCTGGAGTGCAGTGGTACAATCATGGCTCACTACAACCTCTGCTTCCCGGGTTCAGGTGATTCTCTTGCCTCAGCCACCCAAGTAGCTTGGACTATAGACAAGCACCACCATGCTGGGCTAATTTTTGTATTTTTAGTAGAGGCTGGGTTTCTTTTCCTTTTTTTTTTTTTTTTTTTTTTTTTGAGATGAAATCTCACTCTGTTGCCCAGGCTGGCTGGAGTGCAGTGGCGCGATTTTGGTTCACTGCAACCTCCACTTCCGGCGTTCAAGTGATTCTTGTGCCGCAGCCTCCCAAGTAGGTGGGCCTACAAGCACCCGCCACCATGCCTGGCTAATTTTTGTATTTTTAGTGGAGACAGGAGTTTCAACATGTTGACCAGGCTGGTCTCAAACTCCTGACCTCAGGTGAGCCACCCGTCTTGGCCTCCCAAAGTGTTTTGGGATTACAGGTATGAGCAACCGCACCCGGTTAAATAAAATCTCTTTTGAAGTCATTGTCTCCTCTATCATTCACTGTTCCCTGTGAAGGGATCCATGTAGTAAAGTGCTCTTATAATTTAGTAGTAGGTTAAAGATTTTTCTTTTCTGAAGGAAATCACATTTAGCATGATATAATCTCTTTGGTTTGCCTCAGTTGCCAGGAAACTCAAAAGCAAATTTAAATATAAATTTCAGTGAACAAATTGGACAAATCTTTAGAAGTAACTTCTTAGGCTGCGCGGTGGCTCACACCTATAATCCCAGCACTTTGGGAGGCTGAGGCAGGCGAATCACGAGATCAGGAGTTCAAGACCAGCCTGGCCAACATGGTGAAACCCTGTCTCTACTAAAAATACAAAAAATTAGCCGGGCTTGGTGACGCATGCCTCTAATCCCAGCTATTCGGAAGGCTGAGGCAGGAGAATTGCTTGAACCTGGGAGATGGAGGTTGCAGTGAGCGGAGATTGCGCCACTGCACTCCAGCCTGGGCGACAGAGTAAGACTCTGTCTCAAAAAAAAAAAAAAGAAAGAAAGAAAGAAAGAACTTCTTAGTCACTGAATTTGGTTTTAATCTTGTGTTTTTATTTTCACTCTCCTCTTAGGCGTTTTTCATTGTAAATTGCCTTGTTTTTTTTCTTTTCGTTTTTTCCTTTTCTTTTTCTTTCTCTCTCTTGTTCTCTCTTTCTCTCTGAACAGGATCTTTCTCTGTCCCCCAGGCTGGAGAGTAATGGTGCGATGATAGCTCACTTTAACCTTGAACTTCAAGACTCAAGTGATCCTCCCTATTGCCCAGGCTGGAATGCAGTGGTGCAATCTCCACGCACTGCAACCTTGGCCTCCCAGGTTCAAGCGATTCTCCTGCCTCACTCTGCCATCACACTCGGCTAACTTTTGTATCTTTAGTAGAGACAGGGTTTCACCATGTTGGCCTGGCTGGTCTCAAACTACTGACCTCAAGAGACCCGCCCGCCTCAGCCTCCCAAAGTGCTGGGATTACAGGCATGAGCCACCACACCCAGCCCATATTTCTTTCAAATTGTGTCCAACCCTACTAAATTTATGTTAGTATTGTTGCAAAGCAAACTACCCAGAATTTGGTAAGCAAAAGCCGCTGTCATTTATTTGCTCAGGATTCTGTGGATTTGGGAATTCAGTTTCACTCATTTGGAGGGTTCTGCTCCCTGTGACGTCGGCTGAGTCTTTCCTTGGCTGCATTCAGCTGGTGGTTGAACTGAGCCAGAAAGTCCAAGAAAGTTTCATGTCTGGTGCCTTAGTGCATCTCTATTGGCCTCTCACTCCACATAGCTTGGGCATCCTCACAGTATCATCGTCTTCAGATAGACTTAGATGGCTGCTGGCTTCTAACAGGGAGTGCTTCAAAACAGCATGTGGAAGCTGAAGATCTCATAAGGCCAAGTCCTGGATATCATATAGTGTCACTTCTGCTGCATTTTATTCATGAAAAAACAAAAAAAAAAGTCATAGGGCCAGCCCAGATTCAAGGGGAGGGAAAATAAACTTCACCTTTCAATATGAAGAGTGGCAAAGAGAAACTATGTCAAAGTTTTTTTCTTTTCTTTTCTTTTCTTTTTTTCCTTAGAGACAGAATCTTGCTGTGTCGCTCAGGCTGGAGTCCAGGGGCTGGATCATAGCTCACTGCAGCCTCCACCTCCTGGGTTCAAGCCATGGTCCCACCTCAGCCTCTTGAGTAGCTAGGACAACAGGCACCCAGCACCACACCTGATTAAAACTTTCTATTTCACTAAAATATAAAATAATTTTTCAAATTGTATCCAACTGTACTGAATTTATCTATGACCTTTTTTTTTAAATCTAAACATTTACAGAAGAAGAGTATTAAGGACTCCTAATAGGAGATCAGACAAATACTGTTGGCCTCTTAACTGGATTATTTCTGAGCATGGTAACATTGGACAAGGCATTTAGTATTCTAAGCATTAAGTATCTAAGGTTTATCTGTAAAATGGGTTTAATAATAACACCTCAGGCCGGGCACGGTGGCTCATTCCTGTAATCCTAGCACTTTGGGAGGCTGAAGTGGGCAGATCACTTGAGGTTAGGAGTTTTAGATTAGCCTGGTCAACATGGTGAAACCCTTTCTCTACTAAAAACACAAAAATTAGCCAGGCATGATGGCGCACACCTGTAGTCTCAGCTGGTGGGAAGCCTGAGCCAGGAGAATCACTTGAACCTGGGAGATGGAGGTTGCAGTGAGCCAAGATCGCCCCACTGCATTCCAGACTGGGCGACAGAGTGAGACTGTCTCAAAATAATCATAAAATAATAATAATAACAATAATACCTCAAAGAACTGTTATGAGGATTAAATGACATAACGCATGTAAAGTATTTAGGCCCAATGCCTGGTACATACTAAGCACTCAAAATATGTTAGATATTATCAAGACAGACCTCAAAATTATGACCTACCTCTATAACTTACTTTTCTGAACTTTTTGTTGTGGTATAAATTGTGATTTGACTGATAAGTCTGCCTGAAGACAAGCTGCTATGAAACCTCTGTGCTCCGGGATTTTATTGACTAAAAGTCATTTCTCAAAAGACCTGCACATGATCAACAGGTTGATTCTCTCGTTTAGTTATTTAGTTGTTTCTATAGGCTTAGGAAGTAGTGAACATAATTAATTTATCTTCTATACATAGTTGTCCCTGGAGCACTGCAATGGTCTAGCTTCAGTGTTAAAAAGGTATTTCATTTGCACAGGATCTCATTAAATCAAATGACACCAAATTACTCTGCTTTTTTAGTTACATATGCACAAGGCGCTGAGGGACAAAAAGATATCGAAATACTTATGTCCAACGTATAATTAGTTATTGATGAGTTTTGACCTAATTTAATAAATTTAATGTGAAATTTTGTTTTCTAATCTGCCTTACATCAAGACTTAAAATCCATTTGAAATTCAAAATCATAATCCATGTAATTCATCAACACTCTGAATGATCTTTAGAATCTCTTTGTTATTCCCCATTCACTAAAATATTTATCACTAAAGCCTCAAAAACTTGGAGGGCATTCCATCCCTCTGTTTTAATATCAAGCTCTTTAGTTTTGTATTTCTTTTTCCTTGTTGACACTTATCCGTCCATATCTTAACTTTTCCTTTCAGTTTACCAGAGCGGTGGTGGCTCATGCTAATAATCCCAATGCTTTGGGAGGTAAAGATGGGAGAACTGCTTGAGCCCAGGAGTTCAAGACCAGCCTGGGCAACATAGCAAGACCCTTAGGTCTCCAGAGAATAAAAAAATAAAAAAACACAGCCAGGCTGGTGGCACATGCCTGTATTCCCGGCTACTTGGGAGGCTGAGGTGGGAAGATTGCTTGAGCCCAGAAGGTTGAGGTTGCAGTGAGCCATGATCACACCAGTACACTCCAGCCTGGACAACAGAGTAAGATCCTGTCACAAAAAGAAAAGAAAAGAAGAGAAAAGGAAGGGAGGAGAAGAGAAGAGAGAAAAGAGAAGGTGGTCCTTCCTGTGGACCACTCCTCCTTGGAATACTCAGTTGTGGCTTCTGTGGCCCAGCACTCCAGCCTGTCCTCCTACTTGTGGATGATTTCTTAGTTTCCTTTCAGACCTTCCTGCTCTGTCCTACAAATAATGTGGGGATGGCTCAAACTCAGTCCTTGGCTCACCAGCCTCTCACCATCTCTTTGCCCTTTCCCTCTTACTATATTTCTCCATCTTTCTCACTTTCCCATCTACTCTCCCTCCTCCTCCACACACGGGTTCATTCATTCCTGTGCTTTAAATGTAATCCCTTATTCAGAAACTTAGTTCCCTGAATGCCAGACCTCTGTTCCCAATTGTTTACTAAACATTCCCATTGAAATGTCTCACACACATCTTGAGCTAATCCTGTTCAAAACCCAACTCTTGATTTTTCTTCCTATTTTCCTCTATTTCAGTAGATGAGACTACCACATAACTCATTTGTGAGAGTGAGAAATCTAGAAATTATTTATCTTGTTTTCTCCCAACGTCAGTGCAATTCATCAGCATATTCTATTGCATTTACTTCCAAAATACACTTCTTGGCCAGGCACGGTGGCTCATACCTGTAATCCCACCACTTTGGGAGGCCAAGGCAGGTGGATTACCTGAGGTCAGGAGTTCAAGACCAGCCTAGCCAAGATGCTGAAACCCCGTCTCTACTAAAAACACAAAAATTAGCCGGGTGTGGTGGCACATGCCCGTAATCCCAGCTACTTGGGAGGCTGAGACAGGAGAGTTGCTTGAACCCAGGAGGTGGAGGTTGCAGTGAGCCGAGATCATGCCATTGCACTCCAGCCTGGGCAGCAGAGTGAGACTCCATCTCAAAAACAAAAACAAAAAAGCAAAAAAACAAAAACAAAAAAAGCAACATTTATTTTTAACTCCCCTTCTCTTTATCTTCAGGGCCTATCCCTTGGTGCAAGCCACCACCATCTTTCGCCTCGATTCCTTAGTGAAATCTCTTAACTCATCTCTCCCCATCTTCTTTCTCTCTGCCTTCCCCTCCTTAATGTCCCCATGAAAAAAAATTACAGCACTTTAGATGAATTAACATCTTTCTCATAGTAATAAGGTTTTCCTGAGGGAACAAGGCATAGAGAAAAGTACTTCCCTAGGGTCATATAGAGAAATGGCAAATAAGATGTTAGAAGCCAGGCTCCTTTTTCAGTGGCAATAAACTCTCCTATTTTCTCAGTTATCTGCTGTGTGTTTTTCTTTTCTCTCTCTCTTTTTGACTTACTTCCTTTTTTGAATTAAAAAAAGCATTTTATTTTGTGAAGAACTGAGGTATTTGGACCTTCTTGAGTGTAGGTGATGCTAACATGCTTTAGTTTAAATTTCATTATCCGACTCCACCAAACTCAGGGCAAAACAAACAAACAAACAAAAAAAGGCACAGGGATTGGAAAAGCTACCAGAGGCTCTAAAACCCTGTCAGAAGGAAATATCCAAACATTGAGTATTTCCACATTGGAATCTTTTTTTAAGTAGTTTACTAACCCAGAGTTTAATGATTATGCTAATGACCATACTTGTTATGAGTTTTACTGTATGTCAGCCAACCACTTTGCATAGTTTTCAAAGTCCTCCGTGTTCTGCACACATCAGCATACCTTGCCTCACTCCCTTCACTCCTTGGCGTAACTCCCCACCTCTGATCTCTCAGGAAGCTGGTTTTGCTCACAACCTCACCCTAACTCCACACTTAACTAAATTCTACGTATGTTTCCAGAGCCAGCTTTAGTTCCATGTGATCTATGACACTTACCCAGCTAGTGTTGTTTTGTTTTGTTAGTTTTGTTTGGTTTTGTTTTGTTTGAGGTAAGGTTTAGCTCTGCTGCCCAGACTGGAAGGCAGTGGCACAATCACAGCTCACTGCATCCTTGACCTCACTGGCTCAAGCGATCCTTGCACCTCAGCCTCCAGAGTAGCTGGAACTATAGGCATGAGCTGCCACGCCTGACGTGGTTTTGGTTTTTTTTTTTTTTTTGTAATTTTTTTTGTAAAGATGAGGTCTCCCTGTGTTACCCTGGCTGACAGCTACTGTGAATTGCACAGATTGCTTTCTTTACACGCAATGAAATTAAGAGCTGAGAGCTGGGCGCGGTGGCTCACACCTGTAATCCCAGCACTTTGGGAGGCTGAGGCAGGTGGATCACGAGGTCAGGAGATTGAGACCATTCTGGCCAGCATGGTGAAACCCCATCTCTAGTAAAAATACAAAAATTAGCTGGGTATGGTGGTGCATGCCAGCTACTCAGGAGGCTGAGGCAAGAGAATCTCTTGAACCCAGGAGGCAGAGGTTGCAGTGAGCCAAGATTGCACCACTGCACTCTAGCCTGGGCAACAGAGTGAGACTCTGTCACAAAAAAAAAATTAAATGCTGAATGCTACCAAGAAGCAGCTTCTCCACTCCTTCTGGAATCTCTGTCTGGTTCAGCCTGCCTGCCTCCACTCCTGCCTCTACCATGTCCATCAGGATGACCCAGAAGTCCTACAAGGTGTCCACCTCTGGCCACCGGGCCTTCAGCAGTCACTCCTACACGAATGGGCCAGATGCCTGCATCAGCTCCTCAAGCTCCTCCTGAGTGGGCAGCAGCATCTTCTGGGGTGGCCTGGGTGGGGGCTATGGTGGGGCCAGCAGCATGAGAGGCATCACTGACATCACAGTCAACCAGAGCCTACTGAGGCCCCTTAACCTGGAGGTGGATCCCAACATCCAGGCCTTGCGCACCCAAGAGAAGGGGCAGATCAAGACCCTCAACAACAAGTTTGCCTCCTTCATAGACAAAGTACGATTTCTGGAGCAGCAGAACTAGATGCTGGAGACCAAGTGGAGCCTCTTGAAGGAGCAGAAGACAGCTCGGAGCAACATGGACAATATGTTCGAGAGCTACTTCAACAACCTTAGGTGGCAGCTGGAGACTCTGGGCATGAGAAGCTGAAGCTGGAGGCGGAGTTTGGCAACATGCAGGGGCTGCTGAGGATGAGATCAATAAGCTTACAGAGATGGAGAATGAATTTGTCCTCATCAAGAAGGATGTGGATGAAACTTACATGAACAAAGTAGAGCTGAAGTCTCACCTGTTAGGGCTGAGGAGATCAACTTCCGGAGGCAGCTGTATGAAGAGGAGATCGGGAGCTGCAGTCCCAAATCTCAGATACATCTGTGATGTTGTCCATGGACAGCAGCCGCTCCCTGGACGTGGACGACATCATCGCTGAGGTCAAGGCACAGTACGAGGAGATCGCCAACCACAGCGGGGCTGAGGCTGAGAGCATATACCAGATCAAGTATGAGGAGCTACGCATGCTGGCTGGGAAGCACGGGGATGACCTGTGGCATACAAAGACTGAGATCTAGGCCGGGCGCGGTGGCTCACGCCTGTAATCCCAGCACTTTGGGAGGCCGAAGCGGGCAGATCACGAGGTCAGGAGGTCAAGACTAGCCTGACCAACATGGTGAAACCCTGTCTCTACTAAAAATACAAAAATTAGCCTGGAGTGGTGGCGGGCGCCTGTAATTGCAGCTGCTCAGGAGACTGAGGCAGGAGAATTGCTTGAACCCAGGAGGCGGAGCTTGCAGTGAGCTGAGATTGTGCCACTGCACTCCAGCCTGGGTGACAGAGCGAGACTGTCTCAAAAAACAAACAAACAAACAAACAAACACTGAGATCTCTATGATGAACCGGAACATCAGCTGGCTCCAGGCTGAGATTGAGGTCTTAAAGGGCCAGGGGCTTTCCTGGAGACTACCATCGCAGATGCTGAGCAGCGTGGGGAGCTGGTTGTTAAGGATGCCAAAGCCAAGCTGTCTGAGCTGGAAGCCGCCCTGCAGCGGGCCTAGCGGGACATGGCGCGACAACTGTGTGAGTACCAGGAGCTGATGAACATCAAGCTGTCCCTGGACATCAAGATCGCCACCTACAGGAAGCTGCTGGAGGGCTAGAAGAGCCGATTGGAGTCTGGGATGCAGAACATGAGTACCCATACGAAGACCGCCAGCTGCTATGCAGGTGGTCTGAGCTCAGCCTATGGGGGCCATACAAGTCCCGGCCTCAGCTATGGCCTGGACTTTAGCTCCTTCAGCCACACCAGCTCCACCAGGGCTGTGGTTGTGAAGAAGATTGAGACCCGCGATGGGAAGCTGGTGTCCGAGTCCTCTGATGTCCTGCCTAAGTGAACAGCCATGGCAGCCCCTCCCAGATTGCCCCTCCTGGGACTGTCCCAGAGCCCGGGAGGAAGGCCCCTGTGCAGGGTAGCACAGTGAACAGGAGACCCACCTGAGGCTCAGCCCTAGCCCTCAGCCCACCCACGGGGGAGTTTACTGCTTGGGGACCCCCCTTGCCCATGCCTCCAGCTACAAAACAATTCAACTGCCTTTTTTTTCTTTTCTTTTGGTCCAAAATAAAACCTCAGCTAGCTCTGCAAAAAAAAAAAAAAAAAAAAAAAAAAGCTGAATGCTTCTTCAACTCTTAGTAAATACTGATTTCTACAATAATTATCCTTTACTGATTGATTATAATGAACAAGTAGGATTTCCAAAACACTTTGGACAAAAATTGACAAAATGAGTGGAGCATGGTGGTTCATGCCTGTAATCTCAGCACTTTAGGAGGCTGAGGCAAGAGGATTGCTCGAGTCCGGGAGTTCAAGACCACTTTGGGCAACAAAGTGAGATCCTGGTGTTGGCAGTGTAGTGGTGAGCATAGCTGCCTTCCAAAGTGAGATCCTGTCTACAAAAAATGAAAAAGTTAGCTGAGCACAGCATCACATGCCTGTAGTCCTGACCTCTTGGAAGGCTGAGGTGAGAGGATCACTTGAGCCCAGAAGTTGGATGCTGCAGTGAGCTAGAATTGCCCCACTGCACTCCAGCCTGGGCAACAGAGCAATATCTCGCCTATAAAATTAATAATATGATAAAGAAAATGAAAAATTTACAAAATGTCCAATGAACATCTCTCCCTTGTGACTCACAACTCAGAAATGCTGGTGTCCTTAGCCTTGCTTCACCAATGAGGATACTGGTCATGAGGAAGCATATGTAACTTCCCCATGGTCACACAGATAAGAAGACTCATGTGGACCTATGACATTTGAGATTTTCTTCCCATTACATCACATGTCTTCTCTGGCAACTACTGTGGTTTTTCACTGAGCGTTCTATGCTGACCTTCTGTTACAGCAGGAACTTGAGAAAATTGAAGCGAACTTCTTTGTCCTCATGCTTACATTTCAGATTCTTCAGCCTAAGAGTAGAAGAGATTTCACTTTTAATTCTACCTTCTAAATTGCCATGGGTTCCCACTCCCATGTCCTTACTGACTGTCTGCATTGCCATTTTCCAAGCTCAGGCCACCTTGAACCTTACCTCAGAACTGCCACCATCTCTTTAATGGCCTCTTGCTACTGTCCTTCTACTGGCCTCCTGCTAGTATTCCCCATAGAATCCTCCAGGCTGCCATCTAGAAGGGCTTTTTTTTTCTTTTTTTTTGAGATGGAGTCTCGCTCTGTTGCCCAGGCTAGAGTGCAGTGGCACGATCTCAGGTCACTGCAACCTCCGCATCCCAGGTTCAAGCGCTCTTCCTACCTCAGTCCCCCTAGTAGCTGGGATTACAGGATTACAGGCATGCATCACCATGCCCACTTAATTTTCATATTTTTAGTAGCGACGAGGTTTCGCCACGACAGCCAGGCTGATCTCGAACTCCTGACCTCAGGTTATCCACCTGCCTTGGTGTCCCAAAGTGCTGGGATTACAAGCATGAGCCACCACACCTGGTCCTAGAAGAGCTTTCTAAAATACAAGTTGGACTTTGATATCCCTGCACTTAAAATATGTCTGGTTTATCGTGACTCTCAAAACAGAGCCCTAATTCCTTAGCCTTATATTTATAAAGCTGAGATGGGGTCCTGGCTCAGCTCTCTGCCCCCTCAACTCTTCTTCTTTCTCCTGCTTCTTCTTCCTCATCCACTGGACTCCATTCTCCAACCATGCAGAATAGCTTACTCTTCCCCAACTGCACTATCTAGCTACCCAGCCAAGGGCTCTTAACCCAGCATCCACACATCCCTTGGGGGACAGGAGGATGTCAACGGAGGAAATTCAGAACTTGAATGAAAAAAAAAATTACATATTCATTTTCACTAATCTCTAGCTGAAATGTAGTCTCTCCGATTATGAATGTAGCTAACAAACCACAGTGGTTTTACCAGGACCTGCAATTTTGTCACTAATAAAAATCATAGATATTTTCATGACAGTTGTTCAAGGTACCACAGTACTGCATATTGTTGATGCTCATCATTACTGAGAAATTTACAGTAATTATTAGCTTTCCACTAGACTTTGTTATCTAACACATTAATAAAGATTGACTGGCTGGGCGTGGTAGCTCATGCCTGTATTCCCAGCACTTTGGGAGGCCAAGGGGTGAGGATCAGGAGTTCAAGACCAGCCTGGTCAACATGGTGAAATGCCATCTCTACTAAAAATACAAAAATGAGCCGGGGGTGGTGGTGAATGTCTGTAATCCCAGCTACTCAGGAGGCTGAGCCAGAAGAATCCCTTGAACCTGGGAGGTGAGGGTTGCAGTGAGCCGAGATAATGCCATTGCACTCCAACCTGGGTGACAGAGTGAGCATCCATTTCAAAAATAAAATAAAATAAACACAAATTTATAAGTAAAATACTTGGTCACAAAAGGGCAAATGCTGTATAATTCAATTTACATGAGGTACTTAGGGTAGTCCCATTTATAGACAGAAAGTAGAATAGTCCTTGCCAGGGACTAGGGAAGAAGCAGGATGAGGAATTACTGTATAAGGGGTACGGAGCTTCAGTTTGGGAAAACAGTTTTGGAGACTGGATAGCAGTGATGGTTGCCCAACAATGTGATTGTACTAACGTGACCAAACTGTACACTTAAAAATGGCTAAAGTGGTAAATTTTATATGATGTATATTTCATCACCATGAAAAGAAAAATACAGCACAGTACACTAGATGGGGAATGTGCTGAAGAAAAAAAAAGGCAGGAAGGTGAGTAGGAAGGACCAAGGGGTCAGATGCCAAGATAGGCTTCACTGCCAGCAGGTTCTTTGCTGCTGTTTTTGCTCAGGACCTGAGCTATCTGCACAGCCTCGTGTTCAGAAAAACTTGCAACATGACCTGAATCTTTCATCTGATTGTCAGCTGGTGCAAAAGTGAAGTTTTTCTCATGTGTGTTGCTAAAATCCTGAAAACCGAATGCCTTTCATTCCCCTAGCACCTTCTGGATGTACACAGGTGAAATCCTCCAGAGGAATAATGGGATGTCAAATTGTTACTTGGATGGGGTCGTTTATCTTTCCATTTGTCTGCATTTTAGTTTGACATGAGCACTTTTCTGCCATGTGTCATCAAGGAATTATGAGGCCATTTGAGGAGGTGAAAATGACTAATTTTTGAAAATCAGATAATTATATCTGATTTATGTCTTCAGTGCCTCCATAAATCATCTTAATATTCAGGCTTCCTTGAGTTTGACTTTATACTATTAACTTTTTCCTAACTCACAAAATATAACCAATGTGGATTCCAAGTCTGCTTGTAACCTTTTAGTAAGTGGTCTGATTTCTGTTCTTTTTGACATTTAGGTAGAAGTTCTTATTAAATATCAAATCTTGAGGTTTAAAGATTTGATATCAAAGTTTGATCTATACAATATCAAAACCTGTTTGTAAAGTGAAACTTCTATCTAATCAAGGCTGTATGAATGTCAATCATACAGCCTAGGTGTTTTTGCTTGTTTTTCTTTTTAATAGTAATTTGGCAAATAAATAAACACAGATCTAATTCTCTCATTTGCCTCTAACCTAAAGTTTTTACCATTTGGGGACATTGACCAGCAAACCCTCTTGAAACATTAAGTCTAATACTCCTTTGCAATGTTATCTTGATAAGTCGTAACTATTTAAGACTTTTTTTGAAGTATACAAATTGTTTTCAATGTAATAGTGAGATTTGTACAGCTTATTAGAAACTGGCAAATTATGAGCCATTTTACATTATCTAGATCCTAAAGTACAGATTGTAAGAGCTTAATTCTTCAGAACTTAAAAATATTCCCTCCCTCTTCTTGTCTTTTATGGCACACAGATGAAAACAGGGAGTTTATCTGAAAGCACAGTCTGGAAACAAGAGAGTTATCCAATTATGAAGATGATAGACGACTTAGGGAATCATCTTCTGTGCTCATGGTGCTGTCATTTAATCTCCCTCTTTTGTCTTTTTTTATTCTGTCACATGAGAACTCTGACATTTTGATCCTTGGGAAGATGTATTGGTAGTACTTCCAACCTTCTTTAAAAGATGGAAATATTTAAGTGACTGTTCAGTAAAAATCCTTGATAGAGTAAGTGACTAACTGAAGTGTTTTAAGGTCAGTCATCTCTACTGCCAAAGTTTTTTACAGTCATTTCTTTCCTATTCAGATGGATTCTGGATTCTTTTCATCTTTTTCTCTCACTTTTCTGTATCTACTTAATCTAATGTTTGTAAAATAATTCCTTCTCCTAAAACATGTAACCTATTCCTGGGCTTCTTTTTTTCTGAGACAGAGTCTAACTTTGTCACCCAGGTTGGAGTACAGAGGCGCAGTCTCGGCTCACTGCAGCCTCCGCCTCCTGGGTTCAAGCTATTCTCCTGCCTCAGCCTCCTGAGTAGTTGGGATTACAGGTGCCCGCCATCACTCCCAGCTAGTTTTTGCATTTTAATAGAGATGGGGTTTCACCATGTTGGCCAGGCTGGTCTTGAACTCTGACTTCAGGTGATCCGCCCGCCTTGGCCTCCCAGAGTTTTGGAATTACAGGCGTGAGCCACCGCTTCCGGCCCCCTGGACTTCATTTCAAAACAAATTCCTTGGCCTCCCAGAGTTTTGGAATTACAGGCGTGAGCCACCGCTTCTAGCCCCCTGGGCTTCATTTCAAAACAAATTCCATTTGTGCAGAGTAATGAAGTCTTTAAGGTTTCACTAAAGGAACTTCTCTGGGTATCACTTTCCTCATCTGTAAAATGAGTCTCACTTTCTTTGTCTATAAAATGGCAAAAGTTTGCTTCACCTCTAAGAGTGTACAATTTCTGCAAAATGATTTGCTCTCTTGCCGTAATGTGTCAAAAAGCAAAATTTCAAAAAATGCAGGGTTTTTTTGTTGTTGTTGTTTTTGTTGTTTTTTTGAGACAGAGTCTTGCTCCGTCACCTAGGTTGGAGTGCAACGGTGCGATCTCGGCTCACTGCAACCTCGGCCTCCTGGGTTCAAGTGATTCTTGTCCCTCAGCCTCCTGAATAGCTGGGATTAAAGGCACGTGCCACCACATCTGGCTATATATATATATTTTTTTTTTTTTTTTTGTATTTTTAGTAGAAACGGAGTTTCACCATGTTGGTCAGGCTGGTCTCGAACTCCTGACGTCAA